CGGTAAGGTGTGACGGAATAACCGGAGGAGTATAAAGCACACCTGTACACACTCATCATTAGCTTTTTTTTATTCAGCAGGCGCTCTGTATGTTGTTTGAAGAAAGCTCCAGTCCTACAAGCAGTATGTCTTACCTGAAGAAGAAGTCTACCAGCATGTCCGGCAACCAGATGTACAGAAGGTGTGTTTTTTCTTGCCCTCGGTACATCACGGATGGAGATTCTCATGAGATGTGTGTCTCATGTTTGGGGATGGAGCACGCACGGGCAGCTCTCGAGGGGGCTGCCTGCGCCCGTTGCGAAGCCCTTTCCGTGCGGGTACTGAGGTCCCGCATGGCTCTCTTTTCCGAGGATGGCCGGATGTGTTTTCCCCGTGGCGCGGGCCCTGCGGCCGCTGAGGCGGCCCAGCGGCTTCACTCATGGGTTCACAGCGTGATCTGTCGGAGGATTTCGGGACGGCTGAGGCTTTTTCCCGACCTTCATCCGCTGGCTCCGACGCTTCCTTTCCTCGTTCGGGAGCCCGTTCTCGGCTTCTCCCGCTCGCGGTTTTGGATCCGGAGACGCTGCAACAATCCGACTCCGAGGAGGCGGACGTGCTCAGCGCAGTGGACGATGACTTCCCGACTATGACGTGCTGCTGGAGGTGGTGACTAGAGCCGTGGCTAAGCTCAACATCAACTGGCCACGGGAGGAGCAGACACCACAGGCTAGTGGTAGCTTGATGAAAGGTTTCTTAAGCACCACACGCCACCTCCACGCCGGTCTCTGCCATTCTTTCCTGATTTACATGATGAACTGAGTAAATCATGGGGCAGACCCTTCTCTACATGGCTTTCCACACCCCGATCACTGAACTACAGTAATGTGATGGGGGTTAGGGACCGTGGTTATGGGAGGATGCCTCGGGTGGAGGATGAGCTTGCGAGCTATCTCTCCCCTCGACTTGCGTCCTCCCTGGAGAAGCCGGCATTACCATCCAAACCATGTCGCACCACATCCACGCTTGTGGGGAAGGCGTACATGGCAGCAGGCCAGGCAGGTGCGAGCTTGCACACCACGGTGCTTCAAGCCTACCAAGCCAACCTGCTACAGGAGATGGTTCAGAGGGGGGGTCCCTCCGAGGAAGATCTGGCGGAGCTTCGCAGAACCACGGAGCGTTAGACGCAGTGCGAAGCGTTCCGCCAGTACCTCCCTCGCCGGTCTGGACCCAAGGCAGCTGAGGCTGCCAGGCGTAGGTCCCTTCCCTCTACGAGCTCCTACGGAGAGGAGGGAAGCAGAGTGTCGCTTCTCGGGGGCCCCCCGAGGAGCTGGGGCAGCGAGACGGCGCTCTCACCCTCAGCCGTCTGAGAGACGCGATCTGAGGACCGTCATCCAGTCCCGACGGAGCTCAGGGAAGACCGGGGTAGGGGAGTCTTTCTCCCCTCCCGCACCCCCCCCACCCCCCCCGGAGGCCGACCGAGGTCCCCTCCGCCGTGGCAACAGGTGATGTTATCCCGCCGTTTACACGTTCAGGACGCACCTGCCACCACCGAGTCCGCGCCGTACTGCCTGCCCCGAGGGTCTACAGGCGGACGGCATCCCGACTCACTCACCGTGGATCTTCGGCGGCTCCCCCCTGCCGTTCTGGGGCTTCAGGGGTCCACCAGAAGATCACACGAGACACCGACCACCAGCCCCGAGGGGCTGGTTCCGTTGGCAGACTTTGCAGACGCTTGGCGGAGCCTGACGAACATTTCTCCGCGGGTCCTGCACACTGCCATAGATGGGTATCGACTACAGTTCAAAACCCGCCCTCCAAATTCAACAGAAGAGAGGGGGTGGTTTGGACTGTGGTCCGCCCGGAGCAAGGTCCGGTGTTGGGACAGGAAGTTTGTACTCTGCTGAGGAAAGGGGCCGTGGAACGTGTCTCCCCCCCAGACAGAGACGCCGGTTCTACAGCCGGTACTTCATAGTCCCCAAGAAGGACGGAGGGCTGCGTGCCCTATTTTGGATGTGCGGGTTCTAACCGGTCTCTGAGGAGATTCAGGTTAAAGATGCTCATCATCCCCGCCACCGTGACGCACATCCAATCTGAGGATTGGTTCGTCACGATAGATCTAAAGGACGCCTATTTCCAGGTCTCCATCCGTCCTTCTCACAGGAAGTTCCTGAGGTTTGCCTTCGGGGGTGTGGCTTACCAGTATCGGGTTCTTCCATTCGGCCTGGCACTTCCCCTAGCACATTCACCAAGTGTATGGATGCAGCACTGGCCCCGCTGAGGCTCCGGGGCATCCGGATTTCAACTTCATCGACGACTGGCTCATCCTAGCCCAGTCTCGAGAGTTGGCGGTTCGGCATCGAGATGTCGTTCTGGCTCGTCTGCGGCGTTTAGGGCTGAGGCTCAACGCAAAGAGGAGCGTGCTGGCGCCCACCCAACGGGCTACGTTCCTAGGGGTTGCATGGGATTCGACGACGATGCGGGCACAATTGTCTCCGGCACGTGTCGACACCATATTGGCTGCCGTGAAAGGGGTGAAGTTAGGCCACGCCATCACTATGAAACACTTTCAACGAGTGTTGGGTCTCCTGGCGGCTGCGTCCAGCGTAATACCATCTGGACTGCTGCACATGAGACCCCTGCAGTGGTGGCTAAGGAACAAGGGTTTTTCCCCGAGGGGAATCCTCTCCGTCTGGTTTGGGTTACGCACAAGTGTCTTCGTTCCCTATCAGTTTGGAAGGAAACTTGGTTCCTGTCCCAGGGGCCCGTGCTGGGAGGGTCTTGTCGCCGGCTGGTTCTTTCGACAGACGCCTCCCTCACGGGCTGGGGCGCGGTCATGGACGGCCGCTTTGCAAGGGGATCCTGGCAGGTGCATCGATCCGAGTGGCATATCAACTGTCTCGAGATGTTGGCGGTGTTCCAGGCTCTAAGGAGTTTCCTGCCCGATCTCCAAGGCCACCACGTCCTGGTTCGCTCCGAGGAGAACAACACAGCGGTGGTGGCCTATCTGAATCACCAGGGCGGTCTGCGCTCGCGCCCTCTGGACAGACTGGCGCGTCAGATCCTCCTGTGGTCCCAGCAGAGGTTACTATCGCTCAGGGCGATGTATCTCCCGGGGACGCAGAATCAGGGAGCAGACCTGCTGTTGAGGCAGGGGCTGAGGCCCGGGGAATGGAGACTTCACCCCGAAGTGGTGGAGCTCTTGTGCGAAGAGTTCGAGCCCCATAGACGTGGATCTGTTTGCGTCTCAAGAGACTACGCACTGCCCGCTATGGTTTCTCTCGTTCCTCCAGCCCCGTTGGGTCTGGACGCCATGGTACATTCGTGGCCGAGGCTACGTCTGTACGCTTTTCCCCCAGTCGCTCTGCTCCCGGGGTTCTGGAGCGGGTCCGCCAGGACTATGTCGGCCTACTGCTCGTAGCCCCGTTCTGGCCGGGTGTGGTTCTCGGACATCATGTCGCTCCTGGACGGCCCGCCGTGGCGGGTCCCTCTGAGGAGAGACCTGCTGTCCCAGGCGCAGGGCCGGGTTCTTCACCCTTGCCCCGCCATATGGCGACTGTGGGTCTGGCCCCTGAGGGGGCACAGTACCTAGAGGCGGGTCTAACAGCCGGAGCAGTCGAGACCCTCCTGAGCTCCAGGGCCCCGTCCACACGGAGGATGTACGGCCTGAAGTGGAGTGTTTCTCCACTTGGTGTAGGGAGCGGTCGGTGGACCCTGTTACCTGCCCGGTGGTTCAGGTACTTGAGTTCCTCCAGGACCGGTTCTCTGCTGGTCTTTCCCCTTCCACCCTCAAGTTGTACGTGGCAGCTATTTCATCTTTCCACACCCCTCTGAGGGAGGGGTTCTTGGGGAAACTTCCCTTGGTTGTACTTTTCCTCCGTGGTGCCCGGAGGATGAGACCTGCGACTCGGTCCAAGGTTCCCACTTGGGATCTGGCAGTGGTTCTTGGGGCGTTGGCTGAGGCCCCCTTCAAACCCCTGGAGTCAGCTGAGGCTAAGCACTTGACCCTCAAGATGGCCTTTCTCCTTGCTATCACCTCTCTGAGGAGGGTGGGGGAGCTCCAAGCGCTTTCGGTTTCCCCGCAAAGCCTGGAGTTTGCCCCGGGGAATATTAGGGCTATCCTGCACCCTCGTTCAGGATACATCCCTAAAGTGCCTTCTTGTGCGGCAGGGTCCACAGTGCTGCAGGCATTTCATCCTCCACCTCATGTGACGGCGGAGGACGGGAGACTTCATCTGCTCTGCCCTGTCAGAGCACTGAGTATTTACACTCTGAGGTCCTCCCGTTGGAGGAAGGCTGACCAGCTGCTAGTGTGTTTTGGGTCTCCCAGGGCCGGGCTCCCTGCATCCAAACATACTATTAGCAACTGGATTGTTCAGACTATTTCCCTGGCCTATCAGGTGCGCGGTTTGCCTTCACCTGTGGCTGTGAGGGCTCACTCTACCAGAGGCAAGGCGGCCTCTCGAGCCCTCCTTTCCGGGGCCTCTTGCAGGATGTTTGTTTAGCGGCTGGCTGGGCCACTCCGCACACATTCATTCGGTTTTACAGTCTTGACCTTCCTTCGGCACCTGGCACTCGTGCGCTCTCCTCTTAGTAGTGCCACTTTATTGCACACAGGGGCAGGCGGGGTTTTCGGCACGGTTTAGTGGGTATCTCGTTCCCATAGTGTCGTAACCGACGCAGTTCGAGTTCCCTCGAAGGGGAACGTCTCGGGTTACGTATGTAACCCTGGTTCCCCGAGAAGGGGAACGAGAGACTGCGTCGGTCCGCCGCACCTCTCTCCCCGCCTGAAGCGCCTGCTTCATAGTTTAAGCTAATGATGAGTGTGTACAGGTGTGCTTTATACTCCTCCGGTTATTCCGTCACACCTTACCGTTCTAGCAACAGGCCAATAGGATTGGAGTGATTTCATTCACGTTCAGACCTGCTTCGCCTAGAGGCGTTCCCATAGTGTCGTAACCGACGCAGTCTCTCGTTCCCCTTCTCGGGGAACCAGGGTTACATACGTAACCCGAGACGTTCTCCAGGACCAACACACAGCAGATTATCAGCAGCTGATCTCTCTTTTAACACCAGGACAGGAACTTCAGCTGGCAGAGGATCCTACTGCTACAACAACTCGCTCTGCAGACAGTAGACACTGATGATAGGCTTTGATTCACAATACAGGACTGCAGCTCCTGCATCACTGTGTATTTAGTTTCATTTATTCCAACAAAGCGTGTTTCGGGCAAATCTGTTGGCATCACCTGCACTTTACACCAGAAGAAGAAACGATGCTTAACAGAGAAAAAAACAATCAAACATGCACAACAGCAACAAGGCTGAATGTTCATGTTTTTTATTGACTGATGCGATCTTATCTGTGTTTAACCTTCAGTCAAACCCAGAAGTAGTTCCTGTTCCTCTTCAGAGCAAACTCATTCCTTCTGACACAACATTATGTTTTTGTAGGATGTGATGATTGTGAAATGAATGAAATGTTTAAAGTAGAAATCAAATTTGTTTCATCTTTTAAATATGCTTTTAATACATTGGATGAAATGACTGTGAGGTGAAACTGTCTCTGGTTGTTCTGAACCACTGACTGTATAAACATTACATTCACATTTATATACAGTCTATGTTCTGATCCCAGTTATCACCAAACTCTGCAGCTCTGTGGAGCTTTAAAAAACAACACGTCTGTCCAGAAACAGAGTTACTCTGAATAATGCTCTGGGGCTCTGTGGCTGGTGTTGATAGATTTTCATTATTTCTTTAGTCTACTTAATGTGAGGTCCCTTTAAACAAGTCCTTTATATGTAAAAGATATAAGATGTTATTATAACTAACAATTATTAATTTTTTCCCCACTAACTGAGGCATGTCCCTTAATTACTACTGTTTTAATTATTCTTGGCTGTCAGGCAGTGGAGGTGGCTACAAATGTTGGAGGTGACTACAAATGTTCCCATGTCTGCCTTAATACCTTTTTTATTGTTGGAGTCTCTGCAATCCATGGATGTTGTTAGGCCTATTTTAGGGGGGCTGAAACCCTGATTGAACCAATCCACAGTGCAGTAACAGTAATTAGTGTAATTAAATAGTATTCTTTGGATCGCCAACTTATCAAATAGAGATATTACACATTTACATGAGCAGCTGGGTAGCATTTATGTCACAGCCTACAGAAGAACTCAGTCTGGTCAAAGTGAATTCCCCCGCCATCAGCGTTGATGTGTCTAAAAGCTAACATGATAGATAGATATATACTATATTTATATTTTTTATAACATTACGTGGGCGTCGGAACCATTGTATGTGGGTGGGACTGTCCCACTTTTTAGGAACAATGATATTGGACCCACTCACTGAAATTCAGCGCCTCTGTTTGTTCACCTTTCAGAGTCGTCATGCTCACGTACTGTCATTAAAACGCTTTTTAAGGGAAAGTTCATCATTTGTTTGCCTGATGCTTTTAAAGGCATCATGTAGTCTTTGTTGCAACATTGAATTACAGTTACACTTACGCTATGTTGTTAAAATAGTTAACAACACAACACTTATAACAGAGTTATCTGATATTTTTGCTAGGCTAGCTAGCTACAGTAATATTAACATTAATCAACCAGAGTTTGCAGCTCTTTGAATCCTGGTCAATGAGAGAAGCTAGCTGTGGTACCAGTGCCAAATCTGATTCAGAAATGGACTGGACAGACTTATTGTTTTTTCAATGTGTGTTGACTCAGCAGAGATGATATTACATGAGAAAGTTGATCTACAGGAGAAACATATCTGAAAGCACCACAGAATGACTGAGAGCTGCACCGACTGAAGTTCTGTTGAGTTTTGGATTTTGAACTGTCACCTGCCACCTGAATTTTGTGTTTCCCTTTACATAAATAAAAACATTTTACCATAAATTGGTGCAAAATTAAGGAGGAAAGGAAAGGAAATTAAGTGTTTAATGCTCTAAATCTTCAGGGGGAGGACCCCCCCAACTAACAGATTTCAGGATTCATGATAGAGACTCTATTGACATTGTATACAAAATACAACAAAAAGCAGTTTAGAGCAAAACATTGAACTTTGCAGCTTTAAAATAGCATATAACTTATAATCAATGGCGATTTATATAAAACAAAATTTATATATATATATAAATCCTGGAGGAGGACACACCCACATTTCTTTTGCTCTAGACGCCCATGTAACATTACAGCACCTTTTGTTCAACAGAGGAGAAATGGAAGAACAAAGTATGTCTGTTATATGTCTGTTAGTGTAGTTCTAATACAGTAACAAAAGAAGATTTTGCAAGCGCAAGTTACGCATCCCCTGGGGGCTAAGCCCCCCCGTGTTTCAATCCTAGTGACGTCCCTGCTGCCCTCTTTTACAGCTTTTTCACAACTCTAGACACAAAACTCACAACCGATGATCAAAATGCACATTTTTCAAAACTCGAACCCTTTTCTCAATTGCTTAGATACAATACACATAAAACTTCATCATTTGTTCATTCAACTAAAATCACCTGTTCAATATGACACAACTTAACATCAAAGTACTACTATTTCAAAAGGCAGTTCACACATTACATTTCAAATGAGTGTCTATTCATTTCCTTACAATGATTAAACTATCAATTGATACAACTGCTCAAAATGATAAGTAACTGTTGCATTACTCTTAATGCATAGTTGTATGGAAACAGACAAACAATCTTCCATGTTTACAGTAAATCATGAAAGTTTCAAGATAATGAGATCAGAGACTGTGTCTATGGTCCCAAATACTGTACCACCTTTTCAGACTATTTACAGTATTGACAGTACTGCACTGTATAGATGCAGGCCCTTGTAATTGCTTGTCCAATTCTGCCAACTCGTTCCTGATGATTGAGTGCACATTGTGGAATGAGTATATAAAGAGTTGATTGGGATCCAATTGCAAGAGCATAGTGATACGTAACAGGGAGCCAGCAGGTGATACAGGTCACAGTGGAGGTCAAGCAGTGGTGGGAGGAAGACGAGGAAGACGTGTTGGTCAAAGGAATGGCAGGGGACAGGCACCCCTTCTGAGAGGTGGTCGTGGGCCTCGTTTGAGAGGTGTGGCGGGACGCAGACCTCATATTGGACCATATAATGCAGTTCTCCTTGTCACCTTTCTTGATGAGCTCCATCAGGTTTGTAGCGCTTCCCTTCCTTAACCCGATTGAGGAATTTTTCTCCGCATGGAGATGGAAGGTTCATGACAAGCATTCCTCATGAACAAGTCACTCTTCTCCAGGCCATGGATGACGCCTGCAATGACATCACAGCAGACCAGTGTCAGGCCTGGATTCGCCATGCCCGAAGGTTTTTTCCAAAATGTTTGGCTAATGAAATCATCCATTGTGATGTAGAAGAGAACCTGTGGCCAAATCCACAACACAGAGTTGATGACAATGTAGAAGTACAGTAATCACTCCTGTTTTGTTTCTTATAGTACAAGCAAGTAAGTTGAGGAACACTTGCTTGCTTGTCTTTTGTTTTCTATTTCATAGAAATCATCAATTATTTTTGTTTTGATTCAAATAAACCTATGTTGTTATTGTACTGTAGTGTTTTGCATCAATATATTACAAACTTTGTTCAATGATTCCACTGTGTCTGTAGTATTCTCTCTACTACTGCATTACTTTTACAGAGATGTATTTACTGTACATGTAGTACCATAATGAAACCTGTATCACCTATTTTGTTCTACAATATTTAATGATTGTATGAACAATGACACAGTGCTTGTGTGTGGGTGATCTATAGTTATGTTTCAATGGTATTTCACAGTAAATTTAAAAGTCAAGACGTTTCGTCCCTCATCCAAAGGACTTCTCCAAAGGATCTCCTTTGGATGAGGGACGAAACGTCTTCCAGTATCTTCAACCAAGTCCAGTTGCCCTTGACTTTAACCTTCGTTGGATAACTATGACCTGGTTATACAAGGACTGGATGGCTCATACCTGGTCCACTGTTCCACAGCCAGGACAGAATCTACATTGCTCAGCCAAACAATGTCCAAAGCCTTTAGCATCTCAGTCCAAACTCATCCACAAACCAGCGTTTTGCCGCCAAGAAGTTGCTTGACTCCCTCTACCAGGAATATGGTACCAACTTCCTGGCGTCTTCAGACTTTGCCTCCTCCCCAGAGGATGTGTTGGTCGGGTTCAGGAGCTCCTCAAACTGCTCTTTCATCGCTTAACAATATCTCGAGTCGAGGTCAGCAGTTCTCATCCATCCCCGGCTGAGCACAGCCTGAGCCAAGCCCTGTTTTTGCTTCCTGAGTCGTCGAATGGCAGGCCAGAACTTTCTTGAGGCCAGTCGAAAGGCCTCCTTCTTCTGCTTGGCGGCTTCCTTCCCCGCTGGGGTCAACCATCAGGTTCTTAGATTGCTGCTGACAGGAAGCCACCTTTACAATGGAGACTTTGAACAAGGCGCACTTTCCATGTCCTCACCTTCGCCCGGGATGCGTGAGTCAAGGCCTGGCCATCAGATGCTCGTCGGCGGGTCCCCTCTAACGGCTGTAGGACGGCGCTCAGGTTTCCCTTTTCTGGGCAAGTTGCTACAGCTCCTTCTCATCCAATTCATGTAGGGTCTTCACAATTCTGTTTTTAATTGCATTTATAGTGAAATATTCATATGTTGCTTATTTACTTGTTAAGTCACACATTATTTACAGAAATAAATGTTGCAGTGTAACAGTTAGCTAACAGTAAGTTACTTTTGTAGTTTTAGCTTTGTAAGCTTAATTTGGTATCAGGACAGTCACTTAATGTTAACTTAAAGGTTCAGTGTGTACATTGTGGTGACATCTAGTGGTCACGTTGCGAATTGTAACCATCAGCTAAGTCTCCCCCTTATCAAAATTGTAGCATAGCTACGGTGGCTGACACAGGACAAAAGATGGAGTCATCTGAGACAGCAGAGAGTAGCCACTCATGGAATGACGTTTCTTTAGATAGATACAAGGTACAAGGTAGATTATTTATCATTATACATTTATAATTATACAGCACTTTGTGAAAGTCTGTAGTTTGCAGTCCCTTCATGCTACACACAGAGAACTTAACAGAAAATTAAACGTGTATTAAAATATGGTAACATATAAAATTGAATTAACTTAAAAATATATACAGTTATTTATATACAAAGGTTATTTACTGCACATACACATATCCATCCATCCACCCGTGTCCATCTTGACTGTGTTTGAGCACCAAGCATCACCTCCCTCATCTTGCCGGAGTCTGACAACTCGGAACACGCACTGCCAGCCGAGTGCTTTTATGAAATACAATAGAAACACAAAGTAGTTCTGATAACCAGAATTTGAACTTGTGGTAAAATGATGATGATGAACGTTTGCAATGGCATTTTACTGTGACACTTTGTGTGTTCGGGCCTTTAGACAGAAGACAAACTCCCTCACAGGAGAGCTGAACGGGAGGCCTCTGCTTCCAAACTGAGAAATCACAGATCCCTCCAGGGTTTGGGTTAAGGCTGGGGAATAGTGTGAAGCTCCACATTGTTCCTAATGTCACCTGATGTACTTTTTACAGGTTTAATGTTCTTCAATGTTTTTATTTCATTCATAACCATCATGTACTACAGGGCCTTTGGCAGAATAACAAGCTCATTTTAATATTACACAACAAATCATATGTTTAAACAAGAACAGGAAATGCTGGAGAATTTAAGAGTTGCGACTGCTGTGACATCACAGCGCCTTCTGTAGATATAAGTAGTGAAGTTGTGAGAGTGTGACAGACTGAAGGAGAAGCAGCAGTTTGTTTCCTCTGAAGGTGAAGCCGCAACGTCTCCTCAGTTCAACCTGCAGGTGAGTTCAGACAGGTAAGCATCCAACCAGGAGACATTACACATGTCTGATAAATCAGCTGTGTGCAGTATTATTCTCAGCTCCTCCAGGATCTCACAGAGACTTTGGACAGTTTTTTAGCCAAAATGACTGAATTAGCAAAACATTGAGCTGAACTTCATAAACATTTAGTCATGTTGCAATAATTTGCAATATTTAAATATTGCATTTCAATTAAAAATGCAACTGTTTTATGAACTTATATATAATCATGTGTGATACTCCCAAATACTGATGAGTTTTGGTTGAGTATGTGTTGATTCCTGAGTGACTGCAGAGCGTCTGTAGAGCTGCAGACTGTGGTTGTATGAAGTGATGGCGGTGAAGTCTGTCAACATGTCTGTAGTTTGTGATGCTGCAGAATTGTGTTGGATTTTACTGAGAGGTGACTCTAATATTCTAAAAATCCTATATTACCATGAAATAACAATTCTAAATCACAGAAAGACTTTGAACCCTGACAAATTCTATTCAACAGTCGGTGTCATGATTTGTATCTAATGCAGTTTTGTGAGGGAAGTCACTCCCAGCTTAGTGTATTGGGGAGTGACGGAGCTACCACCTAAACACCAAATTTAAATTCTACTTATTCCGCATTCACCTAATAATCTGTTCCATGTGAGTTCAGTGACGGAACAAATATATTGTTGCTGTATTTTCAGAGCATCAGACGGATCCACATCAGCAGTTTCAGCAGAAATCTGACAATGAAGGTGAGTTTGTGAACTGATATTTTACAGATCTCCTGTTAAACTGTGAAGAGGCTTGTGATATTGGTAGCTTAGATGGTTGCTACAGCAACAACCCAGGCAGATAATTATTGTCAGTTAGCTCCACCTTAGAGGTGTCTTTGCCCACACCGCCATGAAACTAGAGGCCAAACTGGTAAAACAGTGTGTAAGAGTCAAAGCTCAGTCAGAACGACAACATGTGCTCTGTTCCAGCTGGTATCAGTCGTCTTCCTCCTCCTGGCTCCTCTGTTGACCAGCTGCCAGCAGCTCGTCCAACCGGTGGACTGCAGTGACATCTACAAACAAGACAAGAGCGTCCCCAGTGGAGTGTACACCATCTATCCCCTTGGAGAGAGGTCTGCTGTCCAGGTACACTTCACCTTCTCTGGGACATTTATGCTGGAATCAAAGCAGAGTTACTGAGTCAGATCAGGTGATCATGCTGTAGAGGCACAAACTCTTGCTGATAAATTCAACCAATCACAGCCCTTTGAGAGAGGAGGCATCAGGGGCCGACTTTCCTGCCCCCCCTGGCAGCACCAACAACAGCAGTACTTTTTCTTTTCTCCATGATGAACCAAAGATCGCTCCATGCTCTGGAACGGCATCATGTTACTCTTATGAATACAATAATCTGCTGACTTTGCTGCTACTAATCACACCACTGTCACTCAGCTTGAGATGGTTTTGCACAGTTGCTCAATTCATGTTACACTAGTTGTGGGTACTGTATGTGAACTGCTGGTGCTGTAAGTTTGAGTTTTCAGTAGAATTACATAGCTTTTGTTTTATTCTATTCTATTCTTATTTTAAATACTTATAATGTATCTATTTCCTTTCTCTATTCATCTCTACTTCTATCTGTCTTTGTGCTGCTGTAACAGCTGAATATATAGTTTCATCTTATCTAAACACCACACCTTGTACTTTCTCTGGAGTTGGTTGATTCCAGCCAAGCCCTCTGAGAGATGCATAAAATATCTCCATGAAATATCCAACAATAGAAACTAAATAAGACAAACGTCTCACAGCCTCATAAGTATGAACCTAATAAACAAGTTCAGACAGCTGAAGTAATTTACTAATGAATGTGTTTGTGTGTAGGTGTACTGTGACATGAAATCAGAAGGAGGTCGCTGGACGGTGAGTATTACCACAGAGTGACTTTCAGTATCAGCACTTCCTGTTGGACTTTCACAATAAATGACATAGCAGTAAAACCTTGTTGCCTGGAAACATGAGCTGTCAGGTATCTGGTGTGTTTAGCTAGTTCTCCCTCCATCCCGTCCCCCCCAGGTGTTCCAGAGGAGGATGGACGGCACCGTGAACTTCTACAGGGGCTGGGATCAGTACAAGCTGGGCTTTGGTAGCGCTGCTGGAGAGTACTGGCTCGGTGAGAAACCAAACCTAACTAACACTAATGTGACTTTGTGAAACTTTGTTGTGTGAATCCAGAAATGAGACTGACCAAGTTTTGTGTCTAAAGTCTAGATCAGTTAGTGTGAGAGTGTTTTAATCAATTATCTCCACGTCTGTCCAAAATGTCAAACTGTGCCCAGTGTGTACATGTATATATACAGTGTGTATGTGTGTGTTTGTGTGTGTGCAGGTCTTGAGAACATCTACCAACTGACTAAGCACAGAAAATATGAGCTGCTGGTCGACATGGAGGACTTTAAGGGGAAGAAAGTGTTTGCTCGCTACTCTTCATTCTCCATCGCTTCAGAGTGTAACGGATATAAACTGAGTGTATCTGGATTCATCAATGGAGGGGCGGGTGAGTAAGATGTGTCTTTCTACACTTCTACATCTTGAGCAGGTTGCTGCACCCCAAACTCCCCCTCTCTCTAGCGCACACACACACACACACACACACACACACACACACACACACACACATATAAATCTATATCTACATGTGTATATATCTAGATTTATTTATTTACTTCTGTGTAGTAAAGCTTCATTTAATGTAGACTAGCTAGTAGCTTAGCTCACTACATTTTCCAAGTAGCTTGCCCAACACTGCTGGTTGCAATCTTAAAACCGCACCGCTAGTGGTCGCTGAAAACTCATAATGCCCCTTCAACACAAGTCAGAAACATTTTTCCACTGGGCGCCTCAGCAGGGGTAGAGTGACCTCTGCTGGTTGAGCTTCCACATAGCAAGGATGAATTTGTTATGAAGGTTTTAATTAAATAATAATATCTAAAATATATAATTAACTTCAGCTTCATATGAGACCAGTTCACTTAATCTGAAGTTATAGGTCAGGTCTTATAAATGTTTAGTTAGGTTTTACTAAAAAATGTGATTTTGGCTTAGTTTTAGTCTATAATAACCTTTCTAACTACACCGTACATGAGCCTACTTTTATTAAGTTTTACCTGTTACTTTCACTTACAAAAAAGGAATAGACCGTGTGATTTTCTTACGTATCATCCAGGTGAAACACTGAGTCGATCAGAGATCGACCTGCTGGTGACTTCAGCTGTCTGGACCATAACTGGTCTCATCAGTCTGTCTGATAGAGGACTGCAGACTGTGAAAAGTTCAGCTGATACTTATAGATAATGCAAATTTACTAACCCTGTGGTTCTTCTGTGTGTCTGTAGGAGACTCCTTGACTTATCACAACGGAATGAAGTTCACCACCTTTGACAAAGACCAGGACTCTTCATCCAGGAACTGTGCCAGATCATTCCTGGGGGCGTTCTGGTACAACGACTGTCACCATACAAACCCCAACGGGGTTTATCGCTGGGGGGCTGACAAGACCATCTCTTCTGTTGGAGTGGCGTGGTACTATTGGAAGGGTTGGAACTACTCCCTGAAGACCTTCAGCATGAAGATCCGTCCTGTGCAGTAGTTCTCCTGGACCAACGTACAGCAGAATATCAGCAGCTGATCTCTCTCCTGATTTCTTTCTCTTTCTCTCATTAAGCATGTAATCTCACAACGGGCCTTATTTTCCTGAAACTGGGCACGAGCACAATCCACCAGCAGCAGAACACCAACTCAGATTAGTCCTTTTTGTTACCATCTGTGGCTCAAAGCGGCCCAGAATCTTGAAATGGAAACAGATATTTAGAGTCTGATTGTGTGAAAAGCTGATAGTGACAGGTTTGAAACCCTTGTGTGAATCATTATCTGCTATACGCTGACAATAAATAAGAAGCTGAGCATTAAGATGATCTTTTGTCTTTACTGTGTCTGCTGTTCTCTGACTCTATAGATTCCAGCAGTATAACTCATATACGACCAAAACTCACTGAATAAACTGTCGGAGAACAATAAAATCACACTTCCATTCATATATTTGCAATTAAAAATGGTGTCTCATCTCTACTGTTTTTGTAATAAAAAGTTGCATCTGGTCATAGATATCGCTCCAATGTCTGGTGGCCATCTCAAAAACGTTTGTCCACCATCTTGACCAGTTTTTAAAAGGTACAGTGGTCGCAGCCATGCGGCTTTATGGGTAATAGTCGATGCTGCTTTCAAAACTGGCCGTTACTGGGGCAGCTTGAAGGCGTCTCAGGAGACAGGAAGAGATCGTTCGATCGCTTCTGCTTCTGAACACTTCTGTTCTCTTCGCTCTTAATTATTATTATTTATTCCGCCGTTTTTTGGCATCTATCTTCTCCTGTACCGTTTGTCCTACGAACTTGGTTTCAACTTCAAATTGTACATCTTCTTCATGATCTGTGTTGCTGATATCTGTATTGGTTGATTTTATATTAATATTATTATGCATTTAAAAATGAATGGGTTCCTATGGGACTCCTCTTCCAACCTAGCGGGGATGGAGCTAAACTCCCATGATGCATGGCAGTGAAGAAAGTTTTGCCAAAATTTGCAAATAAGTCTCCTATTTGTTTGAAATACAAAACAAATACTTTGTGATTTATGTATTTGTTAAATGTGTCTGCTTAGAAAATAATGTTTTTTGTTGGAAATTGTCATTCTTGTGGTGATTTACTATTGAAACCAGGAATTGAAGTGCCTGTTTCATTTGATAAAAATGGCTGCATTGATAGCTAGCCTGCAGCCAGGGTTGAGTGGACTCTAGTAGTAATGTTTAGCTGTCTTCTGCTTTGCTCCTCCAGTTCTTCAGCTTGCATTCTCTTTCTCCTCAATTGTGGTGAAGACCTGTGCTTTATATTTTTGTGTTCAGCTGCTCAAGCTGTAACTCAAATTGCCCAAACGACAGCTGAAATTTTAATTTTTTAAGGCAAATGCACTTTACCATCAAAAATAGTTCAAAAAGCAGTGTGATCCAATAGCGTAGTGGTATAGAGACAGTCCTCAGAGTACCACTTCATGCTCCAGACATTGATTTGATTCACAATATTAATATATTGTTTGTGTATATATGTATTATTGTTTTTGTTTGAACTTGATGCTAACAAAATGTGGAGTCCTTACTGACTTTCAGTGGTTACTTTAGAAATTCTATGTTGTTAGTCTTTCTAAATGCAATCATTGTTTACATGATATTAAGTCTTTTACAGCATAATTCTGTGGCTGTTTATTTTATTCTTCAACAGCGGAGTAGACATCACAGAAAATGTGTTTATAAGGAGGCATTTTTTTTTTGTCAGAATAAGACACATGATTGACAAAGAAACTTGAAAGCCTTCCCTTCACAGTGTAGCTGAGTAGCCCGGTGGTTTAGGTCTTGCTCTTGCTCTGAAAACCAGGGATTGATGGATCAAACCCCGCTCACAGCATGTTAATGAAAAGGGGCAAAACTTAACACATATGTTTGCTGAACATGTGTGCAGCACATCATTGAGTCTCTTAGCTGATGGAGCCACACATTGCACCGACAGCTGTAGCAATCGCAAAAAATAACCGGCAGCTCTCGCAGGCATTTTGTTAAGGAAATACCCATTCTAGTTCATTCTGGATATGATATTTTAGGCAGTTTGTCCTGCATCAGTAATACACTAGCCTGCACGTTCTGCTACACACAAATGGAACATTTAACAAGTAGTCTGGGTTGCCTAAAGAGGGAGCTGTCTGCATCTCTCACTTAATGGCCTGAAAGGATCCTTTGGCATCTTGTGAGTTATCTGTTTGGCCTGCCACCTCGACCATTGCCCTAAGTAGGACTGTTTTGAGATCTATTGCCTAAAAAACTGTAAGAATGAGAGCATTTTGGTCACTATTTGTGGTTTGGGAGCCTTAGTTAGATCCCCTACCTGTGATGGTGCAATGAGTCTTTTCTTTTTCTCCACACAATTTCCTGCCTTGGTATTCTACCTCCTGCTGGCACAGATGTAATTTGTCTTTACTTTCCTTGTGACCTCCATGTGCCAAAGCCTGCAGCATGGCTACAGAGTCTCTCTCACAATGTTCCATTGAGGAACAGTAAATGAGCAAGTCATCCACGTATTGGATCAGCGTGCTGTCAATGTCTAGGTGCTGCAGGTCCTAAGTCAGGGTGCAAGGGAACACTGAAAAATATAGATAAATATATATAGATGATTGACTGTACCAGTGAGCTCCTGGTGGCAGGTTTGACAACAATGTGTGTGGATTTGGCAAGACTGGTGCTGCTGACATGTGCAGATCATGCACTCATCTGTAGATAATACCATCATCCCGGCCCTGCTGCAGGACAAGCTCTCCCAGCTGAGCGTGCCTGACTCTGCCTGCAGGTGGATCACAGACTTCTTGATGGACAGGAAGCAGCACATGAAGCTGGGAAAACATGTCTCTGATTCCAGGACCATCAGCACCGGATCCCCTCAAGGCTGCGTTCTTTCCCCCGTTCTCTTCTCCCTGTACACCAACAGCTGCACCTCCAGTCACCAGTCTGTCAAGCTCCTGAAGTTTGCGGATGACACCACCCTCATTGGGCTCATCTCAGGTGGGGACGAGTCCGCCTACAGGTGGGAGATCGACCATCTGGTGACCTGGTGCAGCAAGAACAGTCTCTGTTGCTCTGAGGACCGTGGAGATGGTCGTGGACTTCAGGAAGAGCCCAGCCCCACCCTCCCCCATCATCCTGTGTGACTCCCCAGTCACCATTTAGGACTCCTTCCGCTTCCTGGGCACCATCATCTCCCAGGACCTCAAGTGGGAGCTGAACATCACCTCCCTCACCAAGAAGGTCCAGCAGAGGATGTACTTCCTGCGGCAGCTGAAGAAGTTCAACCTGCCAAAGACAATGATGGTGCACTTCTACACCGCCATCATTGAGTCCATCCTCACCTCCTCCATCACCATCTGGTTCGCTGCTGCCACTGCCAGGGACAAGGGCAGGCTGAAGCGCATCGTTCACTCTGCAGACAAGGTGATTGGCTGCAATCTTCCTTCTCTTCTGGACCTGTACTCCTCGAGGACTCGGAGGCAAGCAGGAAATATTGCAGCTGACTCCTCCCACCCCGGACACAAACTGTTTCAGACTCTCCCCTCTGGCAGGAGACCAAAACCTCTCGCCACAAAACAGCCTCTACCCGTCTGCAGCTGGCCTCATTAACAAGGCCCGGGTCCCCCACTCCCATCCCCCCTTGCAAACGATACATTCACGTTTCATCTCATGTTGTGGTGTATAACATATGTGCATCTGGCCATTACGTGTATCCGGCCATTACAGTTTAACATAATGCTCTGCAGCTGGTGAGAGGGACAGTGAACCCTTATGGGGAAGTAATGATTGATGGGTGCAGTGTTAGGGGAAGTAGAGATTAGGTATAAAGAGATTAGTGTGTATGAAGGGACTGTACCCTTCTGTGGTGTCTAATAGATGGTTACACTTATTTTACAGCACCGTGCCCTTATATGGTTTTTAGCAGAGACCTAAACATGTCCTATATAAGCTGTGTTCGATGTACAGAGAGACAGAGTGGTCATCGGGCTGGGTCACTCTCCAAACTGCTGCAGAGCTTGTAATTGATGCTGAATTCTTTGATGTAATAAACTTTTATAATCAAGAACAGTGTCAAGCGGATTTCTTCTCAACACATCATCGCAGCATTATCGTTCGGACACCACAATGTCTTGCACAGACCCCGGCACGTCGCACATATTTGTTGTTAATTGTTGATCTTTTTATATTGTCAGTTTATATATTTATATGTACACAATATTCTCTTCCGTTGCGTTACTTCTGCATGACACAGACCCAGAATAATGCACATGTGTATATCTGCAACGTTGTTCTTCTATTCCATATTTATATATTTCTGCATTTATTTATGTTAACTGTTTGTCTGCGTGTAGCACCTTATCACCACAGCAAATTCCACAGCAAAACACTACTTGGCAATAAAGCTCCTTCTGATTCTGATCTTCTGATCTGATTCTGATAATGTGGCTTTTTTTTATTTGACATTGATTGGATCCCTTGTGTTAAATGACTTTCCAATTTCCAGATACTTTGGGACTACCCCACTTTTTAAAGAGAGTGAGAGGACATGAGTTGATGGCTCACTAAATGGGAATGCTACTTCTTTTTAAAGCTGAGCCTTGATTTCATCATGACCTGCTGCAGAGTTATTAAGGTTCACTATAATATCAAAGACTTCACTGGATGTAGGAGGGTCTAAAATACACACTGTGGGAGAGCAACCAGTAATCGAATCAAATGGACCATCATCTGTACAAACAATTTGTTCTGCAAGATTTCTACCAACCTTGGCAAAGAAGTCATTGAGTATACTAAGAATATAATCTGAAAGGGCAGAGGATCCTACTGCTACAACAACTCACTCTGCAGACAGTAGACACTGATGATACGCTTTGATTCAGAGGACAGAACATTAAATATTGATGGAAAGGAGGGATCCTGCTGCTCCTGTATCACAATAATAAACTAAATACACACTTAAGCAGTGTGTATTTAGTTTATTACAAAGCATGTGTTGGGGAAATCTGTCGGCACCATCAGCGCCACAGAGACGAAGAAACAATCCATAACAGGAAGATGGGAGAGACAAACCAATCAAACATGCCAACAGCAGCATGGCTGAATGTTCACACTGTGATCTTATCAGTGTTTAAACTTCAGTCAAACTCATTTCTGCTGTAACACGTAACTATGATTTGTAGTATGTGATGATTGTGAAGTGAATAAAACATTTAAAGCAGAAAGCAAACAGTTAACTATTCTTTTAATAGTTTATCACGAAGAAAAAGCCACACTAGTGGCAGCTAATGGGGATCTGAAGAAACAAATA